AAAACCAGGATACACCACTGCCTGCTGCACTGAAGGTCCTTTCTGACAGGACACTTGAAGCGGGGCAGGCCAGAAGTTCTATCGCAAATTGGGATAACTCAGGCCACAGGTCAAGCCTGCACACCCAGTAGTCAAGGGGTTCATCGCTCCTCAGAGTGTCGATATCTGCAGTTAAGGCGAGGTAGTCTGCTACCTGTCGGTCGAGTCGCTCTCTGAGGGTGGATCCCGAAGGGCTGTGGCGATGCGTAGGACTTAAAAAGGTCCGCATGTCCTCCATCAATAACACGTCTCTAAAGCGTCCTGTCCTTGCCGGCGTGGTCATGGGAGGAGGAGGATGACTTCCACCTCTCCCCCTGTTAGATTCCCGTTGTGCTGTGACATCACCCTTATACGCTGTGTAAAGCATACTTTTCAATTTATTTAGCAAATGCTGCATCCTTTCATACTTGTTGTAATTCGGTAACATTTCCGCCACTTTCTGCTTATACTGGGGTCTAGTAGCGTGGACACCCAGTACAGGTCGTTCTCCTTCAGCCTTTTTATACGAGGGTCCCTCAACAGGCACGACAGCATGAAAGACCCCATTTGTACAAGGTTGGATGCCGAGCTACTCATTTCCCGTTCCTCCTCCTCACTGATGTCAATGAAGGTATTTTCTTCCCCCCAGCCACGTACAACACCACGGGTACCAGATAGGTGACAACGAGCACCCTGGGATGCCTGTTGTGGTTGGTCTTGCTCCTCCTCTTCCTCCTCCTCAAAGCTACATTCCTCCTCTGACTCCTCTTCCTCACAATCCTCTTCCAGCGTTGCCGCAGGTCCAGTAAGCGATGCTGATAAGGCTGTTTCTGGTGGTGATGGTGACCACAACTCTTCCTCTTCATGCTCATCTACGGCCTGATCCAGCACTCTTCGCAGGGCACGCTCCAGGAAGAAAACAAATGGTATGATGTCGCTGATGGTGCCTTCGGTGCGACTGACTAAATTTGTCACCTCCTCAAAAGGACGCATGAGCCTACAGGCATTGCGCATGAGCGTCCAGTAACGCGGCAAAAAAATTCCCAGCTCCCCAGAGGCTGTCCTAGCACCCCGGTCATACAAATATTCATTAACGGCTTTTTCTTGTTGGAGCAGGCGGTCGAACATTAGGAGTGTTGAATTCCAACGTGTCGGGCTGTCGCAAATCAAGCGCCTCACTGGCATGTTGTTTCGCCGCTGGATATCGGTAAAGTGAGCCATGGCCGTGTAGGAACGCCTGAAATGGCCACACACCTTCCTGGCCTGCTTCAGGACGTCCTGTAAGCCTGTGTACTTATGTACAAAGCGTTGTACGATCAGATTACACACATGTGCCATGCACGGCACATGTGACAACTTGCCCAACTTCAATGCCGCTAACAAATTTGTTCCGCTGTCACAAACCACTTTGCCGATATCCAGTCGCTGCGGAGTCAGCCACTTTTCCACCTGTGCATTCATGGCGGACAGGAGTGCTTGTCCGGTGTGACTCTCTGCTTTCAAGCAAGTCAAACCCAAGACGGCGTGACACTGCCGTATCCGGGATGTGGAATAGTACCTGGGAGCTGGGGGTGTGCCGTTGATGTGGAGCAAGACGCAGCAGCAGAAGAGGACTCAGCCGAGGAGGTTATGGAAGAGGATGGAGTAGGAGGAGTAGAGGAGGTGGTAGCAGGACTGCCTGCAAGTCGTGGCGGTGTCACCAACTCCTCTGCAGAGCCATGCATTCCATGCTTGGCAGCAGTCAGCAGGTTTACCCAATGTGCAGTGTAGGTGATATACCTGCCCTGACCATGCTTTGCAGACCAGGTATCAGTGTTCAGATGGACCCTTGCCCCAACACTGTGTGCCAGACATGCTATTACTTCCTTTTGCACAATTGAGTACAGGTTGGGGATTGCCTTTTGTGAAAATAAATTTCGGCCGGGTACCTTCCACTGTGGTGTCCCAATAGCTACAAATTTTTGGAATGCCTCAGACTCCACCAGCTTGTATGGTAAAAGCTGGCGGGCTAATAGTTCGGACAAGCCAGCTGTCAGACGCTGGGCAAGGGGGTGACTTTCTGACATTGGCTTCTTACTCTCAAACATGTCCTTGACAGACACCTGACTGTGGGCAGATGAGCAGGAACTGCTCAAGGCGAGAGACGGAGTGGCAGATGGTTTAATAAGAGGACAGCAGGTTGACGCGGCTGAAGATGCTGGACCAGGAGGAGGCTGAAGGGCTTAGAGTAGCGAAATACAAAAGGACCTCCATGGGCGCCAGGATGTGAGATCATGTGCCTACGCTAAAGCAGTTGTACCTAGGTGGGTGTTGGACTTCCCATTCCACCTGCTCTTTCGGCACAGGCTAAAATGGTACCGCCGTTACCGTATGCAGACATACAAAAATTCCACACTGCTGAGCTCTGCAATGACGGCATTCTGGTGGTGGACACAGCATGCTTGATTGGCGTGCTGTCGGGCTGACCCCGGGTGTCGATGCATGCTGTCTGACTGTGCCACTAGCTCCTTGCGACGACCTCCCCCTGCTTCCAACTCGTCTCCTCCTCCTCCCTGCCTCCCCATCTGAACTTTCGCCCTGTTCTTCTTCTTGACGAGCGGGCACCCACGTGACATCCATGGACGCATCGTCATCATCAACCGCTTCACTTGTATCTGACAACTCAGCAAAGGAAGCAGCAGCGGTACAACATCATCATCATCATCACACCGTACGTCCATGTGTGTAATGCTGCCTGCCTGAGACATATCCCTGTTATCTACATCCTCTGGCAATAATGGTTGCGCATCACTCATTTCTTCAAACGGATGTGTGAATAACTCCTGACATACCAACCGAAGCGGCTGTGGTGCTAGTTTTGGTGGTGGCGGCAGGCGGGTGAGTGGTATCTTGAGAGGTGCCTGAAGCTAAGCTGGAGGAGGATGGTGCGTCAAGGTTCTGAGCGGAGGCTGTAGAAGATTGGGTGTCCTGTGTTAGCCAGTCAACTATGTCCTCAGAACTTTTCAAGTTCAGGGTACGTGGCCTCTGGAAACTGGGCATTATTCTAGGGCCAAAGGGAATCACAGCACCACGACCACGATGGCCCCTGCGGGGTGGCCTGCCTCTGCCTGTCATTTTTGTTGGGATTAGTGGTACTATGCGTGCAAGCTACTGTGAGACCAGATATGAGTGGCAATGTGCACTGGCACAGTTGTGCAGAGTACAGGCTGTAGGCCTGACACCCGCTTGAAGATAACTAACTGCTATTCAATCTATAACAGTGAAAAAAGTGTTTTTTGTTTTTAAATACAAGCTTTGTGTCACCAGATCTAAGTGGTGGCACTGGTCACCGTATCCACTGTTAGCGTAACACACCCGCTTTAAGGACACTGACTGCTATTCAATCTATAACAGTGAAAAAGTGTTTTTTTTTTTAAATCCAAGCTTTGTGTCACCAGATCTAAGTGGTGGCAATGGGCACAGTATGCACTGTGAGCCTGACACAGAAGCTGGCAGCAGTGGCAGACAACTGACTGCTATTCAATCTATAACAGTGAAAAAAGTTTTTTGTTTTTAAATCCAAGCTATTGTGACACCAGATGTAAGTGGTGGCACTGACTGGGGAAATGGGCACAGTATGCACTGAGCCTGACACAGAAGCTGGCAGCAGTGGCAGACAACTGACTGCTATTCAATCTATAACAGTGAAAAAAGTTTTTTGTTTTTAAATCCAAGCTATTGTGACACCAGATGTAATTGGTGGCACTGACTGGGGAAATTGGCACAGTATGCACTGTGAGCCTGACACAGAAGTTGGCAGCAGTGGCAGACAACTGACTGCTATTCAATCTATAACAGTGAAAAAAGTTTTTTGTTTTTAAATCCAAGCTATTGTGACACCAGATGTAAGTGGTGGCACTGACTGGGGAAATGGGCACAGTATGCACTGTGAGCCT